GCTGGCAGCACGGCGGGCAGGCGGCTGCTGTGCTCTCGGGGGTTTTACCCAACGCGCGCTTTTTCCGAGGTCCTTCATCCCGCAGGAGAAGGCGGTGGGTGCCTGCCTGTCCAGCTTGTTTGCGGTTCCTGGTGTCTAATCTTCTTCCAGTTAAATCAATTGAGCGTGATCTTTATTTTCTTTTTTTGTCCTGTTTTGCCTTTTGCCCAGGCTAGCCCAAGAAGCCTGTCTCAGATAACACTTCTTTTTCCCCGTGTCCCGAAGGGTGTGCCTTACTTTTAGCGTATCTGTGCTGTCGTTTGGTACGCGTTACTGCGTTTTTATCGGTGTTACCGTTCCGGACTTGCAAAACAGCAAATGGCACGTACTCCAGCGGAGAGCTCATACAGTAAATGCACAGGTGCACAATCAAAACCACATCAAATCACACCGTCCTTGTATTCTCAGGCTCCTTTTCAATAAGATGTTTTTCAGGGTTTACGTTTAATGTCTAACTGAATTCTGTGAGGTACTTGACTTGTAAGACTGTGAAAAATTTGATGTAGTAGTAGTTGTATGTATCTGGCTAGATTTCCAGAAGTGGTAAGCAGCCGTAGCTCCTGGTGTTTAGTTGGAGTTGTGCACCTTCACAGTTTAAGATAATCTGACCCCTTTTCCTCTACTTGTGGACTTAATACTTTAAAATAGGAATCTGAAATATAATACTTCACAAAACTAAAATAATTAAATCTTGAAGGAGTTAACAATTTCAACTCGTTTTCCAATCGAAGGCTTGAGGAAGTATTTCTCCAATTTTTCTTTTCCCAGGGAGAAGGGATGCGTTCCAAGGGGGCGAGAGGGTAGGTAAACAAAGCAGATGCTTTGCAGATACATTTTGAATGAGTTGGGAGGGCACTAGGGACCTGTTCCATATGTCAGGAGCCAAGAGATCATAAGAAGGAGCAAAGGTGAAGTGAAGAGCGGAGCTGAGGATCATAGGTTTGGACCCCAAAGGCAGGTTGTCAAGAGAAGTCAGGCAGAAAGCAGTCTCGGGCAAAGGAGGGCAGTTACTCCAGTTGCTGTTAATGGGCAGAGGTAGCATCTTGCTGGATTTCTGGTGTGAGTTAAAACTTCAAAGCATGAAAAAAGGAAAGGTGAGTGGATATCCAAGTGTTGCTGTTTTCGAACAGCGTACACATACGTGTAACTTGCAGTGGATGGGGGAAGAGTTCTTTGAATCCTTGTTATACTTTTCTTAACCCCGAGGCAGCCGTTCGCTTCCTCCTCACCTTGAATTGCACCACTCCAACAATGAGCTGGAGAGCCCGTTTTCCTGAGCCGGCTGTGCTCCCACTGAGATCAATGCTAACAACAGCCACCAAGTGAGAAGGAACAAATAGGACAGTCTCAGTTGAACCAGTGCATGCAAAAGCATGAGGAGGCAATTATTAGCCAAACACAGAGATAACTGTTATTTTATTTTCAAACTCAGAATGAAACAATAATGTAGGATGCAAGAACAGTAATACAAACAAGGTGTAGAAGCCATCCTTTTCACCGGACACAAATCCATAGGATTTTTCTTTTTTTCCCAGGAGCTTCACGCTCATCTGAACGGCTGTATCAGTTCTGCCACTATGAAGAAGCTTATGGCCCAGAAGCCGTACCTCCAAATCCAGAACGGAATGACTGTGATTGACAAAGGAAAGAAACGAACCTTAGATGAGTGAGTATACGCGTGTGTGAGAGATGGACATTTACCGAGTGTCTGTTAATTAAGTTCAAAACAGAGAAATGTATGGCCTTATGCACTGACTGCAGGAAATGCATTTTCAAGGTTTAGTTACAGTACAATCTGTTAGATTTTTTTGCTACTTGTATCTGTAGAATAACTTCTTAGATGTTTGCAAACTAAATGGACATCTCGTGTTGATTAATTCCTTTCTTAAAGGATTGAAAATTTTCACTTGTAGTATATGCTCTTCAGAGAGAATTGACTCGTATAGTTTCCTTTTTTGGAAACTTAATGTTTTTGTTTGTGCTTTAAAAAGCTTTGTGGTAATAATAACAATAATTTCTGTTGCAAATGCATTGTTAGCATCTAAAATCAGAAATTGCCGTTCAGATGGTCTTTGTATTTTAAGCTACAAGCTGGTTAATTGAGCATAGTGAGTACATGTTTTCAAAGTGTAGATTTTTTTTTTGAGTACTCATTTTACTTTTCATTTTTCCAATTTTTTAACTTTTTATTTTAGATGTTTTCAGATGTTTCAGATCATCTATCAGATTACCACTAGGACTGAAGATATTTTACTGGTAGGTTAATTAAAAGTCCGCTTAAAACAAGCAAGCAATACGCACGGTCAAAATTAGTTGGATTAATAGCATTGGGTTCCAAGTACCTATCAGCAATGGTCCCTTCAACTGGAGGTCAGAATTGTTATTGTAAAACACATTAATTTAGAAACACGGGATTTTATGTAACTTTTACGTTTAATTTTTGTGAAAGCAATGAGCTTCCAATATGGTGGTCATTATGACCACTCAGATGCTTGGATTGATAATGTCTTAAAAACATGATGTCTGTTCATTGTCACCAAAGCTTTGATTTACCCTAGTCTCCTGTTTCTTCTTCGGTTTGTTACGTACCAGAACTACAGAACTAGAATTACCCTTTGTTCACCTCAGATTACAAAACTGTCAAGGAGGACTGATGTGTGATCAAAATAGGGAGAAGAAAGTGGTGTTGTGGTTTAACCCGGCAGGCAGCTAAACACCACACAGCCTTTTGGGGGGGGGGGGGGGGGGGGGGGGGGGG